ACCTAGCAGTTTGAAACCATGTAAAAATGCAAGTAGAAAAATAGGAACCACCTTTGGTGGGAAGGGAACTGCGTTCCGTGCGCCTTCAACATTTAGTTATGCCAGCCACATGACTACAGAGATGTTTTCGGACAGCGCTAGCTCTTCGGCTTTGAAACGGAGATGAGCACCTCCCCCTAGAGTCAAGAACGACTAGCACATATGTGCAAGGGGAACCTTTACCTTACATAAAATAAAACCCATCTTACCACGGCAGCTTAATCCAATTGAAAAATCCAGGCTGACTCTTTTCAGAACAGCATCTACATGGACCTTGGGTCTGATCTAGGTTACTTTCATTCATTCATTCATTTATTTTTTTCCTTCATTCATATATATTCAGACTCACACCCACCATGTGTAGAACTAGGAATTAGTGCTGCTTTAAGTTGTGATAAGAAACACAATTATCATGGTGTTATTTTTTAAAGCCCTACAGAGGAAACTCCCACTGACTCACTAGTAGTCCATGTCCATAAGAGGTCAAGAAATTTGGGTGGATTAGCAAAGGGATCTGAATATAGGAGCAGAACTGCAGAAGTGCTGTGGTGCTGATACTTTGCTATCATAAATCCTCCTCCAAAGAAAGGAAACCTGCTCTCAGAATAAATGGCTCCACTTGGACAGAAGTGGAAGTAAGATCTAAACATAACTTCCCAGGGAGGTTAATATTAGACAGAAAACTATCTACACCCTGCTGTGCGAAGGAAGGATCAGCAACTAGCCCACACTGTCAACTTGGTTTACTAAATCTACTGTTAAACGTCTCCTGTATGAGTGGAAAAATTAAATGAGAAGAAAGAGCTAGGAAATACTTAGTGAGGAATATTTCTGGGGCCAATAATCCCTAGAGATTGGGGGAACGTGAAGTAGCCAAGCCTAATGATACATCAGTCCCTGCCTCTTTAATAGACAAGGGGTTCAATTCACTAGGAAAATCACTTCTATGGGGTCCTTGCTGCTCTCTACGCTCTGGTCGCTTGCCTGGAGACATTTCATTACCCAGCTAGGTAACATCATCATCATCATCAGGCTGATGTTTACTTTAAGCTGCGTGGACCTCAGCTCCCAGAATTTGCCAGCCAACATGCTTTGAGTCTATAGCAATGCTTCTCAACCTTGGCAACTTAAAATGGAGGGACTTTAACTCCCAGAATTCCCCAAGCAAGGAACTTCTGCAAGCAAACAACCAGGTTCAGAGATCACCTAAGGCTCTATCTTCAACCCAATATTATCTTCCATTGAAAATAATTTCAATGATGTGCATTTCATCAGATTGTCTCTATTGTTTCAAGGGCCTCATAATCTGGCATTTGAATAACTGTAGAGCCAACCTGATCCACTGTCTCTTCATCCACGTTTTACACACCCATGTGAAGTAGAATATTTATGTAAACCAGAGGTGGTATTCAGCAGGTTCTGACCAGTTCTGGAGAACCAATAGCGGAAATTTTGAGTAGTTTGGATAACTGGTAAATACCACCTCTGACTGGCCCTATTCTCTGCTTCCCGAGTCCCAGCTGATCGGGAGGAAATGGGGATTTTGAAGTAACCTTCCCTTCCCATGCCCATCAAGCCATGCCCGTGATGTCATGCCCACCAAGCTATGCCCAGAGAACCAGTAGTAAAAAAAATTGAATCCCACCACTGATGTAAACTCTTATTTTACCATATTCTGCCATATTTACATTAACCACAGGCCATGCAGTCCCTGCACCACCAAGTTTTTTACACAAGAGAAAACAAAATATCTAAAGCAAGTTTAAAATATTTTCAAACCAGCAGATCAGTGGCTGTAAATAGTGGGACACAATCATCATGAAATGTCAAATGAAAAAGATGCAGTAACTGTCTCAATAGTAACTAGTCCCAGAGAGTTTTGGAGACAAGTGTGAATTTCGTTCTGTTTTCCCACTTCTACTCAAACATTTATTTATTTGTTAAATTCATATGCTCCCCACCTTGTTACAGAATTATCCAAGGTGATATTAACTATGGAGATGTTCTTATCTGGACTCTTCAGTTTTCTTCCTGTCTTCAACAGCCGTCCCCTCAAGAAGGGAAACCACCCAATGTGCAAGGAACACGAAGATGAAAAGATCAACATCTATTGCTTGACCTGTGAGGTTCCTACCTGCTCTATGTGCAAAGTCTTCGGAGCACACAAAGATTGTGAAGTGGCGCCTCTGCAAAGTGTCTTTCAGGGACAGAAGGTATGAGCCAAGTTTCACTGCAGGCATAGTAATAATACATCTTAACTCTCCAACGTTCAACCCGATATTCATGGTCATCTCCCAGAGATGGGGTAGAGAGTCTTGAATATTGCAAGATGGCAGGCAGACCATCATAATGTAAATGCCATCCTTTTGCTGGTGTTACGTGCATGTTCAAAAGACGCATGGTGTTTTATCGTGACCTTTTATCTGCCTACTTTGAGGATTTTGAGGACATCCAAATTTCAGGATTAGAACTCACAGTCCTCTGGTTTCTACCTGGTGCCTTAACCCCGGTGCCAAATTGGCTCTCCGGTTTCTATTTAAATGATATTTATGGAGATTCCCAGTCATCCAACTCATGGTTGTCCCAATAATGTGCTTTTTCAAGAGGGAACTGGACTTTCTGGTTTTTCTCTGAAGACATTTCACTTCTCATCCAAGAAGCTTCTTCAGCTCTGACTGGCTGGTGGGAAAAATTTATTTTTATGAATGAGGCTTCCAAGAATGCAGTTCCCCTTCCTCTTGGAATGCCAAGTTTGTCAGCCTGGAATCCCATTCCCCACCAATCCAGTTTCCCCACCATCCAGTCAGAGCCAAAGAAGCTTCTTAGATGAGAAGCAAAATGTCTTCAAAGAAAATCCAGAAAGTCTAGTTGCCTCTTAAAAAAACAGACAGACAGACAGATAGATGGATGGATGAATGGGGGTGGATGGGTGGGTGTATATGTTCCATCATAACTCTGGAACGCTTTGAGCAATTTCAACCAAACTTGGTACACAGATGACTTACTCTGTGGAAAAAAATACTGTGGGGGTAAGACATCCCTA